AGGTGAGTGGCGCGCCCGGAGCCACACAGCAAACACCGCCGCTGGGAAGGCGGCCCGGCTGTCGGGCCCGAAAGCTCGGGATCCCTCTCACATCTTCCTCTTCTCAGGGGCTGAGGCCGCGGGGGAGGAGGAGGGGAGGCTGTGGCGTGGGTGGCCTCACCCCGACAGCCGGCGAATCGGCCGTCCGGCCATCACCACCAAAGGTCCACCCCAATGGCCCAAGGGGGCGCGCGGAGGGGACACACACTCGGGCTCACGCTGCACCCGGTGGACCTCGCAGCACCCCCTCTGCGGGCTTGGGGCGGGGAGTGGGGGGGAGTGGGGAGGAGGAAGCGCTGGAGGGGCAGGGGCTCCCGGGGCCCCCCCGCGGGCAGTGCAGGTGCTGGGGCCGTGGAGCTGAGCGAGCCTGGGCGCTCCGTGTGCCCAGGCGGCCGGGGGCCGCGGGAGACTCTGCCTTGGGCAGTCGCAGAGCTGCACGCCCCGGGGGGCCGCACAGTGGCCTGCGGCCGCCTCTCCCGCCCGTCCTCTGCCCTCTGCGCCCCTCATGCGGCTCCCACGTGAGGCCTGGTTCCTGCGGGTTCTAAATCGGGCTTTGCTTTCTGACGGTGCCAGCAGCAGGCAAACTGGGTGATGCCTTTTAAAAACAAGGCTATTTGGAAAATTCCACTCGGGTGTGCTGGAACTCGGAGCCCCAGCCCGGGGCTTTCCGCGCTCCCGCAGGCCCCTGATGCCATGGGTGCCCAGCGCGGGGCCTGCCGAAGGCAGCGCGCCCCAGGCCGCAGAGGGCCCACCCTGGGCTGCTCCTCCCCACCCCAAGGTCTTCTGGTCTTCGAGGACCCACTGGTGCCACTGCCCCAGTGAAATCCCACAATCTTCCAGTCAGTTACTGGGGCTGCTGTGGGCACGCATGGCCTCAGGTGTGGGGCCAGGCTCACCTGGAGAGGCGCCCCCAGTAAAACCGGGCAATGGTCCAGCATCCTGGGGTCTTTAGAGCCATCACAGGGTGGAGACACAGGCTGTCCAAGGCCACAGCCCCTGGGTCATGGCTCCTGCGAGCTCGCAGCCAGGGCTGTGACCTGGCACGGGTCACCTGGCCTCGGGGCTCGCACCTGCTTCGCCCCGCAGCCCCTGCTCATTTTTCTCACACCCCTGGTGAGACCACCGGCAGCCGTGCTCTCCCGCCAGGCCTGGAGCCTCGGCTGCCTGCCGTCCTGGCCTGGCACCTCCAGCGCGAGCCTCTCCCGTGGCGGCGAGGCCTGGGCTGGAATTCGGGAGTCATTTGGTAAGAGCTGCCAGTGCGAGGCCACAGGGCGCCTGTGTGTACCCGCCTCTCGCCGCCTCTGCTGGAGCCAGGCCTCCTCTCTAGCCTGTCCCTCTGGCGGCTCCCTCCCCCCACGGCTGATTTCCATCTCCCGCTGGCCCAGCCGGCAGCAGGAAGCCAAGCCGGCAGCTGTGGCTGCAGCTGTGCTGGCCCTGAGGGCCGGCCCGAGGCTCTGGAGGGCGCTGAGCTCGGCTCTGCTGGCTTCTGCGGCCTTCTGCCTGCCTCAGGCTGCCGGAAGGCTGACCTGCTTTCCAGGCCTTCCTGCCTTTGTTTTCCCCTCCTGTTGCTCTGTCTCCAGAACCAGCCAGGGAGACCCAAGCGGGGCCTATGGAAGAGCGCGCCCACCCCCGGCGCAGAAGGGCAGGAAGCAGCGGCTCTAAGCTGCCCTGTGGCGCCTGAGCACTGCGGTGGGAGCACCTGCCAGGCGGCTGTGCCGGCTTGTGCCGGGCGGGAGGCAGGCTCCCCGGCTGCACTCGTGGCCCGGGGCTGCTGCTTGGCAGGTGAGGAGGCTCACCTTGTTATAGGACAGGGAGAGGGGCAGCCCAAACCCCGCAAACCTGCCTATTCTACATGGGTTCTGCCATCCGCCGCATCAACACAAAACATATGAGACTTTAATGGGAAGGAACTTTAATAAAAACTAGGAAACAATACAGGTAAGGCAAAGAGTCTAGTTTCTAAATGAAGCACCCAAAGTTACCCGTCCCCTCGTGGGTAAAACTCCATCCATATGGGATTGGCCCAGAGCAAGGCCCCAAAGCCTGCCACAAGTCTAAAGCATCTTCCAGTGGGGACCCACAGAAAAGGGTCACAAACAACCGGACAAGCCCGGAAGGAAAAGAGCAAAATCAACATCCAGATAAAAGCTGCCATTGTCACCTCCCCACGGGTCTCACCCACATCTGTGTCACCCAGTCCACGAACAAAAGACAAGCTCAGTTTCTTCACATGTCTCTAGGCTCCATGCGCCTCCTCCAGGTCTCCTGGCTCCATCCTGCTTCCTTCCTCAGTCTCTTCTCCAGCTTCTCCTCTTCCTGCTCAGCTCCACCCTTCCTTGGGTGGGGCAGGGAACCTGGAACCTCCCCCTTTCCTGGGGACCACCCTGTTGCAAACTGGCACCAGAAGTGAATCAACAGACACGGCCCAGTCACCCGGGGGGGCTGCAGGGACAGGGACGGGCGAGATTCACTCGTCCGTGCCCCACACTCGGAGCCGACGTGTCCGGAGGCGAGGCCCTCTGTCTCCTGAGATGTCAAGGAGGCCGGGCCGGGCGGGAGGCCTCCGGCTTGGCTCTGTGCCCACCTCCTACCCCACCTGATCTTGGGCCCCTCCTGTTTCTCTGGGCCTCAGTTTCCCTTCTGAATAACAAGAAGGGCAGTCTGCTGGATCTGCAAGTGTCCCGTCAGCTCTGACATCTGCGACCCATACTGGCCGGTTGGCCACTTCCCTTGAGGGGATGTGGCTGCATTTGTGCGGTACCTGTCCATCTGCTCGAGACAGGCTCCGCGAGGGCAGGGACTGTCGTGTCCCAGAGCCCAGCAGCGGGCAGGCTCAGGGGTGGCGTCCCCGGGTACTCGACATCCTGGCAAGGGCATCGCATTCCGGCTACTCGGGCCCAGGGAGGCTTGGCGAGGTCGCTCTGTGGGGTCTCTGGGGCACGCAGGGTCTCTGCACCAGGCCGGCTGCCCAACACACCTGCTCTCCTGTTGCCGGGGAGGTGCCACAAGCTTCCCAAACACACCAGGAACCAACCAAGTCAGAGACTTGCACACGCACTGCTCCCGCGTCCTGGCCCATGGCACCCTCCACACAGCTGGGGGCCGGCCCCCCCCCCCCCGGACCTCCACTGGAGCAGGGTCGGCCAGCCCCGGAGCCGAGCCCTGGGACGAGGCTCCGCTGCACTGAGCAACAGCTGTAGGGCCCTCCGACGACGGCTGTGGGCGAGAACCACTCTGGGGACCGGCCAGGGGACCGGATGGCTTCACCCTGGAGTCGGCAGCAGCCAGCCGGGTGGGTCAGGTGCCCCCGCTACAGCTGTCATCTCGCGCGGGAGTGGCAGGCGTGGCTGAGGCCCAGCCACACACCTGAGCTTGGTCACTGTATTTTCAGTTTTGTTGGACTCAGGCCCTGAGGACACAGGGTATGGCACGGGTCAACCCAGCCTGACAGCGCGAGGGGCCGGGGCTCCACGGAGGGGCTCTGGGCTGAGCAGGGAGAGGGTGAGGCGGCGGCGGGCAGAGGGCACCAGGTGCACACCTGTTGCCACTAACCTGTGGTTCTGGATTCGGAACAATGGCTCTTTGTCATCGCAGCTTTTAAAACCCTAAGATTTAGAGAGAAGGCTGGGAGGGGCTTGGGGAGAGCAAGGAACACTGCAAAAGCAGATTTATTAATCTGATGTATTCAATTGCTAATTAGGTCAGGAATGAAGCAAGTCTGTGTACTTTGTCAGTGTTCTCTTAAAATAAGCTGGGCATGTGGTCCGAAGGAGACCCGGTATTATTTTTACTTAAAACCACCCAGAAAAGGAAGCATTTATAAAGCTTCTATTATGCACTAAGCATGGGAGGGGTGTTAATATATTCTTTCGGGAGACTGCCTTTTTAAAGTTCACACTTCCTGCCATGATAAGAGGAGTGCTAAGAGTTCCAGACTATAAGATGGGGGGAGGGACAAGTCAGGTTTTCTGCCTAACCCGCGAGGACAGAGCCCAGGCAATCCACCTGCCATTGCAAGCGTCCAGATGCTGTGAGTGGGGGAGACACTGCCCTTCCCTGCCTGCTCTGCTAGTTCACAGCCTCCCCGAGATTCAGCTGCGGGGTCTCTCTGAGGTTCCCGCTCTGGTGATTGCCCAGGACAGCCCTCAGGGTGGTAGGACCCAACCTTCCGGAACCCAGCCCCTGGGGACTTTCCTCTTAACGTCCCCAGAATATGAGAAGTCAACAACTATTCAAGTCCCTACTATGGGTGAGGCCCAGGGAACACTGGGTGAGGCTGCAAACAACATAAACCCAGTAGGGCTCAGGAAGCCTGTCTCCGTTCTAGGGGTCGGGGCTTGGGGGTTAGGTGAGGGAGGCCCAACTCCCTGCACGGGAGCTTTCCTATTCTGGTTCTTTGCAAGCTCTCCCAGGAACTTCGGGGGCGGGGCCTCCGGCTTCTGATCCCTCTGGGTTACTGCCTGGTCCTGGCGCCTTGGGTGAGGGGCTTCATCCCCTCCCCGGTAAACCGGCTTGGATCGCAGACCCTGCCTCTGGGCGCCGGCACCGTTAAAGCGAAATAAATGGAAATCAGCGCTCGGTCGGCTGCCCCCAGCTTTGTGCACATGACAGTTTCCGGAACAGGCTGGAGAGGCCCGGTCTCACCTCCACAGACCGGGGTCTAACTGGCCTGGGCTACTCAGCGGAGACTCAAGGGCAGCAGGTTTGGAAGCCACGGCGCCAGCCACTGTGTAGCCAGGCTCGGTAAGGGCGAGCGCTGAGAAACGCCCGTTTTACAGCTGAAGAGGCTAAGGCAGGGCCCGGAAGACAGCAAAGCTACATTCCTGAAGGCGCACCTGCGGGCCCAAACCACGCCCCCTCGCGCACCTGCCCCGAGGCAAGCGCGCCCATCGATGCGCTCCGCCACTCGGCTCGCCACGCCTGGCCCGGGCCCGCTCGCGCCCCTACCCCCTCCCGGCCGCTTCCCACTTCCAAGATGGCCGCGGGCGGAGCCGACCAGGTAAGAGGCCCCTGGCGGCTGTCCACGGGGCTGTGCAGACCCGGAGATTCCTTCAGGCCTCTCTCCTCGCGGCGCCGCTCGGGCTTCTGGAGAGAACAGGGCGAGCGACGCCGCTCCGGGACCCGCGGCGGCCGGCAGGCGGCGGGAGGAGGGGCGGCGGGGCGAGCGTCGAGCTCACGGAGCGGCGGGGGGCGGCAGCCCGGGCGGAAGAGCGGCGCGGCCCGCAGGGGGCGGGGCGAGGCGGGGCGGGGGTGGTGGGCGGGGCGAGGCGCGAGGCGCGGGGCGGGGCGAGGCGCGCGGGGCGGGGCCGGGGGCGGGGCGAGGCGCGCGCCGCTGGGCCCGCGGGCGTTTCGCGCGCACCTGCCCGCCCGGCCGCCGCCCGCCGCGCGTCCTCGCGGCGCCAGGTGCGCCCGCGGCCTGCGCTGCCCCGCGGGCCCGGGATGGCGTCGGAGCCCCGCTGACCCGGTACGGAGGCCGCCGGAGGGCCGGGCGCGAGGGCGGGGGGGCGCCGGGCCGCCGCCACCTGCTGCCGCCGCCCGGGGGCCGCTGCGGCCGGGGCGGACCTGCCCGGGCGCCCCTCGCCGCGCGGGGCCGCCTCCCGCCGGGCGCCTGCCGGCCCCGGGCGCCGCCCGCGCCAGGCCGGAACTCGGCGAAAAGTTTTCCCGCGGCCGGAGACCAGCCGGCGCCGGGGACCCGCCCCCCGAGGCGCCCTGCGGCCGACGCCCCGCGCCCCCCACCCGGGGCCCGCCCGGACGCCCCGCGCCCCCCACCCGGGCCCGCCCGGACACCCCGCGCCCCCCACCCGGGGCCCGCCCGGACGCCCCCGCGCGACGCCTGGGGCCGCCACCTCGGGGTCCCGAGCCCCAGGATCCCTCCACTCTGGGGCACCCTCGCCCCTTCTCGGCCGCGCAAGGACCCCTGTTTCCAGGCCAGAGACTCCCCGGGAGACCCCCTCCTGGCCTGCAGCCCCCCGCCGCGGAGGCCTGGCCCGGGGGTCTCCGGGAGGGCCGGGGCCGCAGCCTGGGTCGGGGCTCGCCGTAGGGCACCCCCGTCCCCCTGGCTGGCAGGCGCCGCCCGCGGGGAGCCCGAGGGGGGGGGCCCTGGCGCCCCGGCCCGGCCCGGCGCCGGGCTTGTAGGGGCCGGTCCTGGCGGGCGCGGAACCGTCTGTCCTGAAGCCGTCCCGGCCCTTCCGTAGCCCTGGAGCGGGGCGCCCAGCTTGGGGGTGCTGCGCGCGGGAGGCCGGGACTCTCGGCTGAGCCGGCGGGGCGGGGTGCGCCCGCAGGGCCCCAGCCGCCTGAGGCTTCTCCTGCGCTCACCCGGGGTGTCTCCCCGGCCTCAGGGGTGGGGCCCTCCCGGCTGTCTGGGGGTGTTTCGCCCCAGAGAGTGTGGGCGCCTCCTGGCCCCAGGGAGAGCCCAGCGTGCGCTTGGGGCTCAAGGTCAGGGCGAGGAGATAAAGCAGCGGGTCAGGGTCACCCAGCCCGGATTGGAGGCGACACTGGCGCCGAGGCAGGCGGCGGGTCCAGGTCGCTCACCTCAGTGTCCTCGCGCCCGGCAGGTCCGGACTCGGCTCCACGCTCAGCCGGGCTGTAAGAGGCAGCCTCGCCGCGGCCCAGCCCCCTGCCACCTCCAGCCAGCGGCGCCCCCTGCCCTGGCCCCTGCCAGGCCCCCACGCCCGCGTCTCCCCCTACACCCCTCGCCGCCTGTCCCGCCACCCACTCCCTCTGTGCAGGGCGCCCCGGCACTGCTGCGATCCCCGCACGGTGCGGACTCGGCTCGCTCGTCGGAGGCTTGTTCTGGGGTCTCTCTCCCTCTGGGCGAGCCTCCGACGGCCGCGTGCCCGCCTCAGGCCACGCCGTGCCTGCCAGCGCTGCTGGGCTCTGAGACGCTCGAGAACTTGTCCTCAGAGGGACACTCACACCTGCGGTGCGGCCCTGGGATTTTAGGGGAGCGAGCCCGCGGTCTGTTGCTGTTCCCTCTGCGGCCGGCGGGGCGTTTCTGGGGCCTGTTTGGACACCTCGCTGGCCAGGCTGGAGGCCCCGTCCATCGGGTGGGCTGGCGGCTTCATTTTGCTGTTGCAGTTGCGGCCTGAGCTGGGCAGCGCAGGGAGATGCTGCCGGCAGGAAGGAGCTCCACGGTGAGGCAGCCGCTGGCTGGCAGCCGGGCCGCCAATGCAAATGAGCTGCTAAAATAGTGGGCCCAGCCCGGCCCCCACGCCCGGGAAAGAGCAGCCCGGCCGGCCTCCTCTGCGCCCAAAGGCTTTGAGGGTTTCTTCCCCTCTCTTGTCAGCTGCCTGAAGAGAGGGTGGGTCTGCAGGCGGGTCTGCTCCCGTCCCCAGGGCAGGCCGTGGAAATTGAGGCACAGGGTAGCCAAGAAGCTAGAGCTGGGGCGCAAGAGCAGGTGGGTGGAGCGGCCCTTCAGCCAGGCAGCCATCTACCTCCAGAGCCCACCCCTGACCTTCCCCGCCGCGCCCGAGCGGCTGACCGTTACGTCACTGACCATCACATCCACCGTCCCCAAGCGTCCAGGCCAGCCCCGGAGGGCCTCTGACAGGCCTGGTTTGCACCAGTTTCTGCTGCTGTGCGACCTCGGGAGCGCTCGGCGTCTCTGGGTCCCGCTGGGTGTGCTCGGCAGGCCTGGGGCGGGAGCTCGGCGCAGCTCCTCGCGGTCGGGTGCGTGGCAAGCGCTCGGGGAAAGCTGCTCAGTGAAATCCCACGGCTGGGCGGCGTGGTCATCTGGACGTGGGCCTGTCGCCGCGGCGTCTCACAGGGCCTTCCGCGAAGCAGCCACCCGTGTTGTGGGGGCCCCGTGCGCTCACCTTAAATACCATCACCTGCCGGCAGAAAGGGTTAGCGCTGGGAAGGCGCCTTTGGGGCCTCCCGTTTCACCCCAGCTCCTGCCTGGTTTGCTAACGGACTGAAATTTGCTTAGACGACATTGTGTGGCGTTTGGGATGCCTAAAATTAGTTGCCATTCACCTTCCAGAGGAATACGTCGAGATTCTAGCAAGTTCTTTTTGAGGAGTATTTTTGTTCCAAAGAATGACCCATTTAAAGGCGGACTTCTTTCCTGCTGTAGCGGCAGGAAGGGACAGGGCAGGATCTCCATGGCTGAGCAGACGGGGGAAGGAGTCCTGGAGCCCTCGGTGGCTTTTGCAGGCTTTATTGGGGTTTACCGGGTACAGGGCAGGCAGGGGGCCGGGGGTGCCGGGAGGCTGGCAGGTTTCCCAGCCCCCAGCAAGTCTTCACTCTCTCTGGGCTCGCCGGCCTTCTCTCGTGTCTCCTCCTCTCTTGCGCTCGGCTCTGCTGGCATCCCCGTGACGCCGCCTTTGTAAGCCCAGTCTCTCAGCCCAGGTGCACCCCCCTCCACATGCCCACCTCCTCCAGGTGTCCGCCATCAGGCGTGCATTTCCTTTTCTTTTTTTTTTTAAAGATTTATTTATGCATACAAGAGCTGGGGTACAGGCCAGAGATATGGGGGGTGTTGAGAGGATTCACCAGAGACAGAGCGGGGAACAGAACAGGCAGGCTGACCGAAGTACACTGCTGAGGGGAGCAGCGGGCGAGTCAGGAGAGGTCTGCTGCACTATGTGGGTAGCTCCCTGGCCAGCCTGGGGATCGAACTCGTGCTGCAGAGGCTGAGGACAGCTTCATAGTTTGTGTCTTAACCCCTTGCGCCACCAGGGAGGCCCCCATCAGGCGTGCGTTTCATCTCATGGCAGGAGGGCGGAAGAGCCCGATACTTTACTTATACCCTACACCTACGTAGCTTCTGCCGACGTGCAGGGGACGCCACCCTCATTCCGGGCCTCGTGCGCCCTGTGGAAAGGGCCTGGTTAGCCCGGCACAGCCTCCGGCCTTGTCCGAGACACCAGTGCTGGAGGCCCAAAGGGGCCCACGCCGAGGCTGAGGCCAGGAGCTGCCGTGCCCGGGGTGCTCCTGGCTGCACGGGCAGGAGATGGAATTGTTTTCCAGAGCCCCGCCTTCGGGCAGCGTAGCGGCAGAAAGGCCACAGGGCAGGAGCTCTATGACCCGTGCAGATGCGCAAAGGAGAGAGTCCTAGGCGCCCTCGGCGGCTCCTCAGGCTTTTATTGGGATTTTCCCGGGTACACAGCAGGGAGGGGTGCTTCACTCACTCCTTCTGGGCTCTCCGCCGTGCTCTCGTGGCCTCTGCTTCTCTGCCGGCTCTGCTCTCGTTCTCTGCTCGCTTTTGGTCTGGTCTTTCTCTCTGCGCTGGTAGTGGTGTTCCTTCCGCTCCGCTCTCTTCTCGTTTCTTCTCTGGCGTCCCCGCGATGCCGCCCTTATAGGCCCAGTCAGCCCAGGAGCACCCACCTGCGCGTGCCCACACCTACTCCAGGTGCCTGCCATCGGGCGTGCATTCAGAACCGCAGGGTTCCCTCATCAGTCCTAATGGCGGGAGGGCAGACAAGCCTGACAAGCATTTACCCTACAGGTGGCCTCAGTCCTGTCTCAGTCCCTGGCGGAGCTGCGGCCCGCTTCCTGGCCCGTGGTAAACCAGAGCCGAGGCACCGCTGAGCGAAGGGTGCTGAGGGCCTCTGTGCTCCGGGCCCGCTCTCGCCTGCCCTGGAGGCCTGCGGCCTACTCTTGCCTGGCGGTGCCGTCCGGCTGCCACTTGCTTGAGTGGCCCGGGACTGGCTGGGCGGGCTGCAGGCGGCCACGGCCGAGGGGCTGTGGTGTTCGGACCTTAGCCAGTGCACTTCGGAAACAACTATAGAGGGAGGGACCTGACTGACTTTCCTGAGTTGACACCATGTTGACGCGTCCTCACTGCCCAGCAGGGTGGCCGCCCGAAGCACGGACTGCCCTGGCCCTTGCTGGGTGTACTGCCTGCAGGCGCGGCCTGGCGCTCAGAGGGAGCCCCTCCCACCTCTTGCTGCCTCTAGCATGTCTCGCTCTTGGACTGTAACCCGGCGCTCAGTAGACATGCCTCAGGGGGTGCCCCTTGGAACTTGGTGTTAGTAATAATTCAGCAGAGAGATATCTGAGCCCTTAATCTATGCCAGGCCCTTGGCCAGGTAGTGGTGTGCAGAAACTGTTAGCTCTGTGCCTGCTGGAGCTCAGAAGCCAGTGAGGAGAGCCGGGGACCGCGGTAAAGTGCGCTTGTCTTGGGAGGGTGTGGCCCAGGGAGCCCAGGAGGAAACAGGACACGCTGCTTCCTGGCAGAGCTGGGAAGGCGTTTCGGAGGGGGTGGCCTAGCAGTGTGCTGTGTCTGCTGTGGCACCTGCTGCCAGATCCCCAGGGCGCTGATGCCAGGCTGGGGGGAGCACCCTGGGCAGTAGCACAGTTGGCTGGTATTGAGGGAGCCAGGGAGGCCGCGCGGGCAGAGAGGCTGGCAGGGCGGCTGTTTCAGCTTATCCTGTCTTTAGCGAGCGTGTGACTTGGAGGCGGGCCATCGGCAGCTGGCTTCTGCCGGCTTCCAGAGTCCACCCTGTGGCCACCCCCGGAGCACGTGCTCTGTGCAGCTTCCCCCACTCGAGCCCCTCAGAGGGCAGGCGCTGGGGAGCGTGGCCTCTGATCTGGCGGCACCACGGGGTGGGAGGGCTTGACAACAGGGGCAGTGGCCCTTGCCAAGTTTTGGTTTTAAAGGTGTGTTGCAATTTAGGCTTGTTTCCCCGAAGGCGGACACCCTGTTCCTGCGGTTTAAGGAACTTAGAGGTGACTTGAAACTGGGGGAGGCCTCCATGGCTCTCAGCTTCTGCCAGAAGAAGTCCTGAGGGCGGAGGAGAGAAGGGAATAAGGGGCCCCCAGCACACGGCTGTGGGCTCTGCGCCCTTGTCCCGGCTTCCCTGCGCTTTCATCTGGTGATCCGGGGGCCTTGGCCCGGGCAGCCACGGACGAGCTGACTCCCGTGGTTTCTGACTCTGGAGACATGACCGGCCTCCGGCCCTGCCCACGTGTCGTTTTCCCAGGAAGACAGCCCTGCGTGCCGTGCACTCCAGCCTCGAGGTTTCTTTTTTTCTTTTTCTTTCTTTCTTTATACATACAAGAGCTGGGGCCAGAGGTACGGGGGGTGAGAGGATTCACTGGAGACAGAGTGGGGAGCAGAACAGGCGTGTCTATTTAAATACCCTGCTGATGCTAGTTTTCTTGATCTGTGCCATTCTCACTGGTGTAAGGTGGTGTCTCAGGGTGGTGTTGATTTGCATTTCCCTGATGATCAGGGATGTTGAGCATTTTTTCATATGCCTGTTGGCCATTTGCATTTCCTCTTTGGAGAAATGTCTTTTAAGTTCTTCTGCCCATTTCTTTTCTCTTTTTTTTTTTTTTTTTTCAGATTTTATTGTTTATACAAGAGCTGGGTATAGGCCAGAGGTGGGGGGGTGAGAGGATTTACCAGAGCCAGAGCGGGGAGCAGAACAGGCAGAAGGACTGAAATACACTGCTGAGGGGAGCAGCGGGGAGACAGGAGAGGTCTGTCGTGCCATGTGGGATCGAACCCGCACTGCAGAGGCCACAGACAGCTTCACAGCACTGCTCTTCTGCTCATTTCTTGACCGGATTGTTTACTTTGTTTTTGTTGAATCTTGTGAGTTCTTTGTATATCTTTGTGATCAGACCCTGGATGTGGTGAATAAGGAACTCTCCCACACTGCTGGTGGGAGTGCAAACTGTTCCAGCCACTATGGAGAGCTGTGTGGAGGTGCCTCAGTCTACTAAAAATGGAGCTACCATATGACCCGCAATTGCACTCCTAGGGGTCTACCCAAAAGACACAAAAACATTGATTCAAAAGACCACCTGTACCCCTATGTTTACCGCAGCACTATTTACAATAGGTGAAACCTGGAAACAACCCAAATGCCCAAAAATAGATGACTGGATCAGGAAGATGTAGCATAGATACACAGTGGAGCAATCAAGAAAGATAAACTCCTGCCATTCGCAGCAACATGGATGGAGCTAGAAGGAATTACGCTCAGTGAAATAAGCCAGAAGGAAAAAATTGGATGGTTTCACTTATAGCAGGAATATAGGGGAACCGAATAAGACATCAGTGTGAAAAAATAATAACAGTACAAAACACAGCAAAGCAAAAACGGACAATTATAAACCAGAGACATCCTGCAGGGGAGGAGGCGGGAGAGGGGTCAGAGGGAGGGAGGAGCTCAGGGGACTGGGGTGATGGTGCCCGGGCGCCTTGGGGAAGGAAGCTCCATGGGGACTGCACCTGAGGGGGCTGGGGGAAGTAAATACTGTTTACAAATGAACAAATGATACAAAAAATAAAAGAATTAAATAAGTGAACACATTGCTGAGGGGAGCAGCGGGGAGACAGGAGGGGTCTGCTGTGCCCTGCGGGTGCTCCCTGGCCGGGGATCAAACTCGTGCTGCAGAGGCTGCGGACAGCTTCACAGTGCTGAGACTTAACCCCTGCACCACCCGGGAGGCCGCCAGGCTCAAGATTTCTTGTGGGGCAACCAAAGTCTCGCCCGCAGCAGTTAAGATTCATTGTTTTGCAGGCACGTCAGCCCTTCAGGTGGCTGAAGTAGGGGAAAGTCACCTCTGCTGGCCGCCCGCTGTGGTCTGGCCAGGGTGGGCCTGACCTTGGCTACTTTTCCTTAGTCCGTATGGTCATCCCACAGTGCTGCCCCCGCTGTGAGTGGCAGAGCCAGAACCCCCGCCATGTCCTGTGAGGGTCCTCTGGGGCATCAGGGAGGACTCAGGGTGGGGCCTGCAGCCCAGGAAATTCAGCGCAGTGTGACCCCGAGACCTTTGGGCCCTGTTCACTTGTAGGGAGGGGAGACCCAGATCCTCTGGGGACTGTGCTGAGTTTCCGAGGTGAGAGAAGCACTTTAATGTACGGAGCACCTTTATAATTTCTCTCAGGTATTAAACTCTTAACTTGGCATGTTTGCTGTGGTGCAGTCCGGTGGGGCCTCGCTTTTAAGGAAAATGGACAGCCCGTTGACACAGAGCCATGGCGAATTCATCCTTACCCACTGGGTCAGGCTTCAGGTTCCGTCCGATTCTGAATTCTGCGTTTCCATTCATGCCTTCTTATTTCTGTTTCTGCTCCAGCCTGCACGTGTGACTGTTCTCTGCAGGGAGCGGGGCTGTCCCCCATCCCCTTTTCTACTTTTCATGAACTTGCTTCTGCGGTGTTGACAGCGAGAGGCAGGCCTGACTTCCTGAGGGGACACCGGGAGGCTGCTCGAGCCGGCTGGACGGACACCAGGGGAGCGCCGTGCCTGCGAGGGCCGGGCTGGAGCTGGGGCGCAAGGCAGCAGCTTCTCGGGGTGCCCCCCTGTGGGGGCGGGCGCCCCAGTGTTCTTGCCAGGACCCTGTGCTTAATTCTCCTGAGGCAGCGGTGGCGCTAGGGTCGGAGCCCAGGGCCCCCCGGGCCGAGTCCTCCCTCCCCCCCGCGCGGGTCAGAGCCCGGCCCCAGCGCAGGTCTCTAGCGTCACACTTGAGGGTCAGCAGAAGGTGGCAGGACCCACGTGGTCTGTCAGTGCTTTCGGGCTGTGCTGTCCTGCCTGGTGCCCGGCACCCCCTGGCTCCCGCCGGCCGCCGGCCAGCAAGCTGTGGCCCCGGGCCCGGCGCTGACCTCTTTATCGCGCCTCCCGCTGCGCGCCGAGCCAGCCCTCTCGCCCGGTCCTGTAGGCCCCGCCGAGCCCCACGTCCGTGCGCGTTTCCGGGTCGGTCCATAGGCCCCGGCTCGGCCGCTGTGAACCCCAGTTTCCTCCATGGTGAAAGGGTCCCTGCCCTACCTCGCCGGCCTGAGCGAGGTGCCTCCGCGGCGTGGCGGGGCGCATGACTGCGCACGCGGGGCCATCGGGCGGCGGGCCAGCCGGGGTGCGGCCGAGGAAGCGCCCTGTTCATCATTGCAGGAAACACAAAACAAGCCTCCCCCGCCCCCAGCGCCCCTACGCTCCTAGCCCCCACCTCCAGCGTCCCCCCTGCAGCGGGCCCCCGCCCACGCTCCTGGCGCGTCCTCGGTCCAGGGCCGGGTGTGACTGGGAGGTGGTGGGTGATGTGTTTGTATTTTCACTCTTTGTTGGCATCACCGTCCTCTTGTTTTGTGATGAGAAATCCTAGAACCTGGGCCAGGAGGGGCCCCTGGAAGGATCCCTCGTAGGGGCCACTTGACCTGTCGGGGAGGCGTGGGCTCTGGCTTTTCTGTCTCTTGCTTGATTCCCCTATCTGTGCCTTCCCTAGTTCCTCCTTGGACCAAGATGACTGATGGCAGCCTCCCCGCCTCCACGAATGGCGTAGTCTCCATGGGCGTCCCGGGCGGGCGGCCGGGGGAGCACCTGCAGAAGCTGCAGCACGCGGCCCCCCGGGCGCCCAGGTCCCTCTCGCTGCCCGAGTACGGGCCCCAGCTGAAGCTCAGCGTGCTGGAGGATCGCCGCAGCCTCAGGTCGGTGGACTCGGGCATCCCCACCCTCGAGGTCGGCAACCCCGAGCCCGTCCCCTGCAGCGTGGCCCACGTGAAGCAGCCCGAGGCGGAGGTTGTCGCCGAGCGGGCCTGCCGGAGCGCCTGCCCGCTGCCGTCCTGCGCCGCACCTGCGCCCCCCAGCGCCGAGCGGGGCCCGGGGGTGCGGAAGTCCTCCACGTTCCCCAGGACGGGCTACGACTCGGTGAGGCTCGACAGCCCCACTTCCAGGGCCCTGAGCCGCAGCGACCAGGCTTCCGTCTGCAGCGTGTCCAGCCTTGGCACAGAGCTGTCGGCCGCGCTGTCCGTCAGCAATGAGGACCTCGTGGACCTCGTGGTCACCAGCAACTCCAGCGCCATCGTCACCCTGGAGAACGACGATGACCCGCAGTTCACCGACGTCACCTTGAGCTGCGTCAGGGAAGGCAGCGGCCCCCACCCGCAGGACAGTGTGGCCCGGGCCGAGGAGGGGAGTAAGCCACGAACGCTGGGGCCCTTCAGTAGCCTCTTTTCCAGGTAATGCCTCTGTCTCCCTGGCAGTGGTCGGGCTGGTTCTGGTCTAAAGCGGTCGCTGTTTCCTGCTTTGTCAGTGGCCTTGGTGTCACGCTCGTGGACACTGTAGCCCAGGACCCGGTGGTGTGTGTGGGACCCCCCTGTGGGTGGCTCTGCTGTGTGGGTGCTCCCTGCAGCTGGTGCCCCCGTCCCTGGCTCACTGGCGCAGTCTCTCATCACCTCTGGGCCTCGGACCTGTTGTGGCCAAGGGGAGCCACCGGTGCCAGTGTGACCGGATCAGAGCAACCTTGTTCCGTCAGGACTCCCTGAAGGGCGCTTATGCCAATGATTTGCGTTGCTTGGGCCCAGCGGAGGGGGCTGGTGAGGGTGACATCAGGGTGGGGGCTGTGTTTCTAACTGCAGTCCCCGCGAGCATGAGCCAGGCTGCGTTTCTGGCTGTCCCCTCCCTCCCCTGCACCCTCTGCACGGTGGCAGGCCCTTGTGTTTATGCCCTGCCCTGACCTGTGGGCAGTGCTCTCGGCAGCCACACCCACCCGGTGTCTGGACAGGCCATGACCCTGCGTCTTAGGGTGTCCTTCCACCCAGGTTCTGGGCAGGGCGCCGGAGCCCCTGGTCCCACCTACAGCCCTGTAGGGGCGGCTCCCGAAGCCTCTGTGTGTCCACACACACGTTTGTGCTTCGGGGCTGCTCTGGGCAGACAACACAGGAGTGCTGGGGTGGTGGGATTGCAGGCCTTGACCCTAGGTGGGCTTGTGGGGGGCGGCTCGTCAGCCAGGCAGATGCGAGCACCCAAACTGCAGTGCAGGGGCCTCCCTGGTGGCGCAAGAGGTTAAGACGCAGCACTACGAAGCTATCTGCAGCCTCTGCAGCGCGGGTTTGATTCTCAGCCAGCCAGGGAGCTGCCCACAGGGCGTGGCAGACCTCTCCTGTCTCCCCGCTGCTCCCCTCAGCAGTGGATTTCAGTAGATCCGCCTGCTCTGCTCTCCACTCTGTCTCTGGTGAGTCCTCTCATCCCTCTGCATCTCTGGCCAGCACCCCAGTTCTTATATGCTTGAATAAATAAATCTTTAAAACAAATAAAAACAAACTGCAGTGTGGGGAGAAGCGCTGCGCTCCGGGGCCTGGGGCTTGGAGCGGGAGTGTTCCTGGGGTCAGCTCGTCTGCTCCTTGTGCGTGAGCCCTGAGACTGCCATGTGGCCAGCTGCTTGTCTGTCCTGCCCAAGATTGTGTTCCCTGAGCAGAGACCAAGGGTCAAGCTGAGGCCGCACATGACAAGATGGCGGCTTCCCCCCGGAGTCCCCTGCGCCTGCAGTTTAGCTGCTGAGGCACCGTCCCACCGCTTCCCGCCAGCCCCGCTCGGGGTGGCCTGCGGAGCTGCGCCCCGGCGTGGTGGCTTCTCGCTGTTGTTCTTGCAGATACAGCTCTTTCATTTCACTGTGTCTGCTTTTTAAGAGACATTTTTCTCAGAGCAAAATTAAGGACAAAATCACAGCACAATTAGGCAAAGTTGTGCTTCCCCCAGACACAAGGTCCCCCAGCCCTGCTCACCAGCGCTCCTGCGCTGCGGTCAGCGACCCGCGTCGACGCGTCGTTTCCCCCGCAGCTGGTTGTGTGCGTTGTCACTCTGGCGTGGTGTGTCTGTGGTGTCGTGAGAAGAGCAGCGACGTGCGTCCACTACTACAACCAGAAAGGGTCGTTCACTGCCTCGCGAACTCTGTTCTGTCTACTCACCCCTGCCGCCCCCAGCCCCTGGGAACCGCTACCTCTGTGCTTCTCCTTTTCCAGAGTGTCGTGCAGTTGGAACCGCACGGCATGTAGCCTTCGCGGATCAGCTTCTTTACCTCTGCGCTAGGCCTTAACTATCCCCCGTGGCGTAGCCTAATTGCCGCGTGCAGTGAGTCCTGGCCCATTTCTGGACGAACCCGCGTCTCCATCCGCTCGCCTGCCGAAGGGAGGCTGCGGAGAAGCCCCAGCTTGCTGCGTGTGGCTCTGGCTTGCACCACGGTCTCTGCTCAGCAACGCGCTTGCTTGCCAGTCCTGGCCAGCATGTGACAGCTGACATAAGGCGCAGTGTGTGGGTTTTGTCTGGATATGCCCTTTCCGCTCCTTTTACTAAATACCTAGGGGCGCAATTGCCGGATCGGGTGCTAAGGGAATGTTGGGTATTGTAAGATGCCTCCAAACTGTCTTCCTCACCGGTGGTGCTTTGTTGCTTCCCTCCAGCTTTGGGTGGGTGCTCCTGTGCTCTGCGCCTCAGCTGAGGTGGCGCTGCGGCGGGTGGTCCTGGTGATGTGGGACTCGAGGCGCTGCGGCCTCAGTGACCTCCTGGCAGGCTGATCTCGGGCGTGGTGGGTCCTTGGGCACTACCTCGACGGCAGCACGCGCCAGAAGACCCATCTGGGCTGGAGCCCACTGACGGGCAGCGTGGGGTCTGCACAGGCGAAGCCCTGGATGTGTCGGCCGAGGGAGCTGTCCTGGCTGCGCTTGATTTCTTGGTGAAGCCCGGCCAAGGACCAGGTGGGGATGCGCCGCCTGCCAGCCCTTCCCCAGGATGGAGCTGTGTGTGCTGTGATCCCGGCGCACCCTGGCCCGCGGCTCTGAGAGAGGCCTGTCAGGAGACATGACAAGCAGGAGAAATGACAAGCTGGGTCTCAGGAGAGGGAGGAGAGGAGGTTGTGGGGTGGGCGGGCGGCTCCCTTTTAATGGAACTGGACAGGTGACGTTTGAGCGGAGGTCTGCATGAGGTGCGGGAGAGGGCATTCTGGCCCAAGACCCAGGCTGCACCGGGGACGCGCCTTGGCTTTCAGATGAGTCTCACGGTTCTGCCAACGTGGACTAGCCTCCTGGAGAAGCTCCCCAGTGGCTCCAAGCCCCTGCTGTTCCCCCAGGCCCTGGGCACACTGCTGCAGCAAAGCCGCCCCGGGGGCTGCCAGGGCCTTTGCGGGCATACTTGGCGCCAGAGCCTCGGGCTGTGCCTGCTGGCTCGTCTGTTTCTGTGTCCTGTTCACGGGCAGTGTCACGGGACGTTCCTGGTAACCCTCTTAGACTGCAGGTGTTTCCGCCTGGCCTTCTAGAATGTGTTCATGACCTTAGAAACTTCACCTCTGTGAGCAGGCAGTTGGGGGCGGGGGACAGAGGCTGTGTTTGCTTTTGCGAGAGTCATTTGCTTGTCTGTGTGTTCTGACCCTCGGGGTCCCACGCCGTCATTGTGGGGGCCCCCCAGGGCTGTGTGTGGAGCCTCCCCATGTCTGTGGGGGGGCCTCCAGGTCTGTGTGTGCCTCGCAGTGCTGTGTGTGGAGGCCCCCCAGGGCTGTGTGTGCCCCCAGGGCTGTGTGTGGAGCCCCCCTTGTCTGTGGGGGCCTCCAGGTCTGTGTGTCTGTGTCTCCCAGGTCTGTGGGGAGGGGGCCTCAGGTTTGTGTGTGAGCCCCCAGGGCTGTGAGGGGGCCCCTTGCCCCCACCTCTGCTCTGCTTTGGTGCAGTTCTGGGAGCTGCATTTGCAGGTGAAGTGCAGAATGCTCTGTGCAACCTCAGGAGGTTGTGGGGTTTGGGGAACCCCAGACAAACCTGTTCCCGCACAGAAGGCGTCATCACCAGCTACTTGCTCCTCAGAAATTTGCTTCCCTGTAAGTCCGTTCTGCTTAAAACACATGGAGTGGCCGGTAGTTACAGCGCCCGCCTCCCGCCCCGAGCGGCGCCTGCTCTGAACCTGCACGGACCCGGCTCCCGGGCCCAGGGGCTCGGCCTGGCTGACCGTGGGTTTCCCGGCCCCACTTCCTTTCCGGGGCGCGCACGTCACCCCCGCGGGTCAGCCGGTTCCTGTGCCGGGCCGCGGGCCGCGTGTGTTGCGAGAGCCGTTTCCATCCCAGCTGCGCTGGCTCTGCCGTGAGTCACTGCGGTTCACCTCAGGGTCCCGCGCCCTCTGCGCGGAGAGTGATGTGTCATCCAGCTTTGCCTAATACCTGTTTTGGGCCCCGAAGCTGTTCATTTCCCTGTTAACGCCCCGTTGCTTCCGACAAGAGGCTTTTCGAGCGCTGCCTCTCTGCGCAGGGCTCCAGCCGACAGAGGCGCCGGCAGAGTTTGAAAATGAGAATATGCATTGAAGGCCGAGTTTCCTTTTGGGTTCTGAGCACGCGGGGAAGGTGGGAGAGCGGCCAGCGGTGTGTGCTGTGCCCGCGGCCTGCAGGCGCAGGGGGCCGGGCGCGCGGAGGAAGGGGCCGGCGAGACGAGGAGCGCCGTGTCCCGGGCCAGCCTCTGCCCCGCGCCTGGCCGTGCGTTCGCGGTGAGCCGGCCCTGAACGAACACGTCTGCTCCTTTGAGAGCAGTTCCTTTTAACCCCCAAGAAACAGGGTGCTTAGAAACGTGGGGAAGCCCCGGCACTGTTTGCGTAGGTGACCGGCGGCGGCTGCCCTGACTGCGGCCACGCCACGCGCGGGAGCTTACTTCCAGCCGCCGCGCGCCCAGGCCTGACCATCCGCAGCCGGCGAGGTCAGCCTGGGCTCTCGGGCCCTCTGCCTCGAGTCACAGGAGGGCAGGGGGCCCGGGCCTGGAGGGGAGGCTCTGGGCCAGGCGTGCTTGAGGCGCGTGTGTCTGGAGCTCCGTCCCACGAGCTCCCCTGCCGTCACGAGCTGGTTTCTCAGCCCCGTCTGCCGGCCCCGAGGTCCAGCTGGGGCTGGAGTTAGGGCTCCGTGTGGGCCAAAGGTGCTGGTGTTGGGTCAGGACAGGCTCCTTCCGGAACTGCTGCACCGTTCTCGCCGGCCTGCACAGAGCAGTCTCTTCCCCGCGGGGGAGCGAGGCCCCCAAGGTTGCCAGGGAGTCGTTAGATCAGCAGCATCTCCTCGCTCAGACCCGGCACCCTCAGAAGTCGGTGCTTGAAGGCCAGAGTCTCCGCGGGGTGGACACTGTTGTCTCTGTGGCGGCGGGAGGGCGGGGGCTCCGCATGGTCGCCGATAGGCACAACCTCGCCCCGCGCCTGTCCCCGTCCCCCGTAGCCTGACGCTCCCCAC